TCCCCGTAAACATCGGGAAGGACATCTGTCCAGTAAACGCTCAGCTCCAATCAGTTGCCCCGACTCCACTCCGAAGCTAGGGATTACAGGGCTGTAAGGAGAAAAAAAATTCTCCAAAGTAAATCCACAGTTTATTTTTCAGTACAATGTTTCGAAGCTATTTTTAAAGATACGAAGTAATCAACCAGCGTTAATTTTTCCAATATTTCTTTGGAAGAAATGTCAGTTCTGCAGCTGCCTTTCCTTTGTGCTCAGTTATTTAGAAGCTCCAAGCTGAGCAGCTGGCTTCATCAAATCCTTATCTATAGGATTACATGAGATTATTACCATATATAATCATTGTTTACATGACACACTGAACCACATATTAGCTAACCACATTTTAGTTTACTGAAAATTAGTCAATTCTATAATTAACCATAAATAAGTGTATTGTAGAAATATTATGTGGCACAGCTTCCCACCTAGAATCATGGCAAACATACATGTTAAGTATTAGTTCCGTAGAATGTACATGTAGTCCTCAACTTACAACAGTTCATTTAATGACCATTCAAAGTTACAACAGCACCGAAAAAAGTGACTTGCGACCATTTTTCACACTTAAAATCATTGCAGCATCCTCAGGGTCATGTGATTTACATTCAGATGCTTGACAACTGTTTCATATTTATGACAATTGCAATGTCCTGGGGATATGTGATCATCTTTTCTGATTTTCTGATAAGCAAAGTCAATGGGGAAGGTATTGGTTACCACCTTTAGAGCGCTCCATGGCTTAGGACCCAGGTATTTACGAGACCGCCTTCTGCCACCGATAGCCTCCCACCGACCAGTACGCTCCCACAGAGAGGGGCTCTTCAGGGTGCCGTCAGTAAAACAATGCCGACTGGCGGTCCCCAGGGGGAGAGCCTTCTCTGTGGGGGCACCTACCCTCTGGAATGAGCTGCCCCTGGAGATACGGCAGATCCCTTTCGCCATGCCCTAAAGACGTTTTTATTCCAGCAATCCAGGCTGGCCTAATTCTTTTAAATTGTTTTAATTTTTAAATTGTTTAATTATGGGTCTTAATTCAGGGGTGCTTTTAATTGTGGGCCAAATTAATTTAATTGGATTTTAATACTGTTTTTAAATTTTGTATTTCTTGTGTTTTATCTGTTGGCTGTTCACCGCCCCGAGTCCTTCGGGAGAAGAGCGGTATATAAATATAAACAATAAATATAAACAATAAATAAATAATGGGGAAGCCAGATTCACTTAACAGCAGTGTTACTAATTTGACAACTGCAGTGATTCACTTAACAAATCTGGTGAGAAAAGTCGTAAAATGGGGCAAAACTCAACAAATTTCTTACTTAGCAACAGAAACGTTGGGCTCAATTGTGGTTGTAAGTCGAGGACTACCTATACTAATCTTGCTTAAGAATTAACATATCCAATCACTCAGGGAGAAGGAATGGTAATAGTACAATGTTGCTCACAAAACCCAAGCCATAGTTTATCAAGGTTGCATAGTTCAGATGAGTTTACTTAATTACTTGGGACTGCACAATATACTGAACACAAATTTCCCAATTACATTATCTTAATGTTTACCAGGTGAACCCAGCTTGTTGGTTGCCTAGGAAAAATGTATGTATCATCTTTTATCAGATTGATGGTCTATTTGTTATAAGAACCAAAAACTTCACACTCTGAATTTCAAAAGCTATTACTCAGCATTACCATAAAACAATCTAATTAAACAACAAGAGCAAATATTAATAACAGAAGTTTCAGTATGTCCATAGCTAATTGTCATTTTGGATTTAGTACAAGGAAAACACATATACTATCATCTATGCCTTCAGAACTTAGTTAACAACTCAATGTAGAGGTTATTACATATATATATGTTATTATGCATGGATAGTTACTCATGGTTTTAGTGTTCATATGACCAAAAAGTTTGTTTGTAGGTGACATAGCATCTTGCTTTCAGAGAATGATTTGTTATATACTGCAAAATCTGCTCTGAAGGCTCTGCTAGATCTATATTACATATTTTGAGAATACATTTAGGCAATTATGAAGAATTGAAGACAATCTACCCATATAACATTCACTTTCATCAAATTTTCTTCTCAAACAATTGACCAGCTCCTATTCTGGTAAGCTATATTGAAGTACAGTATATACTTGTGTATATATTTGTTTTTTAAATTTGGATGACACTTGTGTTTTTTTTGGTAAAGTGCTTAACGTTAGAAAACATTTTATCTCTTTATAGACATTTCAATTCAGCAAAGTCTCTGGTCTATTTTCTAGTCAAGATATTTTTTTATCTTGTTTATCAAGTGCAAACATCACTGTTGAGACTAATGGCTGGGTCACTAAACAAATATTTCATTTGTTTCCAGTGAACCGTGTCTGTGGCCACAGATGACCCAGCAGGTATTTCAGGGCAACCTGGAAATTTCAGTTACTACTGAATACAAGGGTTGTGTTGTATGAATAAGTTGAGTTGCCAAAAACATTTCAGTATGTCTTATGCCAGCGTGGATTTGTATTATCTTCTCATCAAAGAGCTATATACTAACTGGCTTTTGCATCTAGTAATGATGAGCATAAATAGAGTGTGGAAAAGCAAGGACATCAGCCTGACAACCAAATGCAGATTAGTCTGCACTACTACATTTCCCATAGCTATCTAGTGTTGCAAAATTTGGACCATGAAAAACTAGACAGAAAAATTGACTTGTTCAAGTTGTGTTGAAGAAATGTGTTTTTCATTTCTTGGTCAGTGAAGGGGACAAGCAAGCAAGTAACAGACCATACAAAATCAGACATATTACCGGAAGGCAAAAATCACAAAATTCCACCTTACTTATTTTGGCCATGTCAGGTGATCAAACTAATTGGGAAAAGGCATTTATGCTCAGCAGTAAAAGGAAATGAGGGCACCAAAAACACAGTGACTGACACCAGTCATGGCATAAAACTGAAACCATACAAGATTAGAAAATGTGGAGAGAGCTAATCCATAGAATCGTCAAGAACAGATACCATCATCAATCTTCTATATACATCTATACAGTCCTAGTCATATAGATTTATACTTAGGTGCAAATCCACCACACTTAAGGAAATTTACTTCTAAGGTGAGGCAGTCTTAAGATTTCTATTCTAAACACAATTACAAAAAGTAATTTTTAGTAGTACAAAAGAAGAAAATTAGTAGATGCTTAGAGAGTAATTGCATTGACTCTGACTGCTGGATTTGAACTGCAAACCACTGGATGGAAGCAAATAAACAGGGCAGTTCCAAACTACTTCTCTCCTGTGCTGCTCCTGCCAACTTCAGAAACTCGGATCTGTGTTACAATAGGTGGACAATGAGGCCAGGCTGGTGGTCGGGCCACACTATAGGGTTAATTGGTGATCCTCCTGATCCTTGCTCTTCCCCACTAGATTGAGATGGCAAACCTCAGTGTCTGACTTCTATGTGGAATAGTCTATCAGTTCCTGCCTTTTCCTTTCAGGGATTGTTCCCTTGTCATTACTTCCTATACCTTTCCTTTCCCTTATATTTACATACATGGATGCTTTTACACACACACACACACACACACACACACACACACACACACACACACACACACACAGGAGGGGAGGGAGGGAAGGAGATGGAGAGAGAGAGAGAGAGAGATTTAGTCCTCTCATATTACACCTTTTAACATTTACACAAACTCTATTTTTAATCCTTTTGGTACCCTTGTGGTTCCAACACTACAATAATCAAAAGTAATAAGGAACAGGATGTTCTTTCGTTTCCACTTTCCTCTGTAGGTCCATGGAAACTTTATACCGATGTTGAGCTGATTGTTTAGCTTCATAAAAACAAAGTTCTACTGTTCCTATTTGTAATGTAAAGAAATAAAAGGAAGGCAACAGAAGCTTTACAATACAGATAGACTTCAACCTATGACCTACTGATTCCTCTACCGATTGAAGTTGCAGTGTTGCTGAACAAATGATAGTTACAACCAATCCTCAGAGTTCCAGCCATCCCAGCACCCCATGATCTCTTGGTTGCAATCTGGGCATTTGGCAATCTGTTTGCATTTACGACCAGTTGCCAACTGTGCTAGGCAGGACAGTTTGCTGTTTTTCTAGGCCAGAACTGCATAATGTTGTCCTCAACCCATCAGCTACCTACCACGAAGAAAACATCTGCTGATGCTTGTTACCTCCATGTCAACAGTAGTATTTTCTCACTTCTGCCAGGATAAACTGTGCTTCATTTTGTTATAGGTGATGCCTTTGCTCCAAACAGTTATTTTTTGATGAGCATGGCCCCTCCCCTTTGAATTTGGATGCAGCCCTCCATGTCAATCATCTGGGTTACCAAGCTGCCTCATTGATAAAATTGTGTTTTTCTAACGTTCACTGGTGGTGCTTTGAAACATTGAACATTGCTTTCCCTTTTTCTTTTAATATCCCTAGGTAAGTGCTGAGTCTACTTGCTGCCATCATTCCCCTGTACAAATTGTCAAATAAGAAAATTTTGGAGCTGGGTGAAATTGACAAGAGTTCACTGTTTTTTTAAAACAGGTGATTGGAAAAACTAAGAAACTGTGGGTTTCCCCTTGATGGACTATTGAATAGGAAAACAGTTCCTATACTGAGCCTAGGATTGGAGTAGATGACTTCTAAAATCCATTCCAACTCCATATAACTGTGGTTCTATGATGTTAAGATCCACCCACAGAAAGAAAAGTGACCAGTCCTTATTTTTGCAGCATGTGTGGGAGGGGCAAATAAATATGGGAATCCACCAATCGAAGGCCATAGACAATGCCATCAAGATAGAACACCTGGCCAATAAAATTACCAGTGCTTGAAATCCAGACACCAATTTTTTAAGTTAACAGCACCATGCGCAAGCAGATTAAGACTGCTGGGAAGAATTGCCCTAAGAACTTTACCTGTCAGGAAATAATGTAGCAAAACAATTTACATTTCTTTCATAGACTAGTTTATTATACAATTGAAAAAAAGACATTTTCTACAGAGTTTATGTTGAATATTATTCACATCAATAATGGAGAAAATATTCTGAACTTCCTAATAACTCTATAAACTCACTTAAAGTGCCTTCCACTGAAACATTCATGGATATAATATTGAATGAATTCATAAAGGTTGTGCTGAAAATCCCTCTTGGTGTTCAGCAGTGTTTCTCAACCTTGGCAACTTTAAAATTCCTTGCTGGCTGGGAAATTCTGGAAGTGGAAGTCCACACATCTTAAAGTTGCCAAGGTTGAGAAACACTGATTTAAAGTACCGTCTAGTTAGTATATCTGGGAAATTGTTATCCTTTGAAGCTATTAAATCACCCTTGCTTTAAGAGAGGAGAACTGGGGAAGATAAAATGTCCATCACCCATACCTCCAATCGCTCTGTATGAATTACATAATTCACTTGGGTTTGAGAATGAGGCACATGGGTGGCTTTATGAACATAGCATGATCAGAGCTCAATATATCTCAAATTAGATTCCATACTGATCAAAAGAGGGCAATAAAAATATTCTCTTCCTCTATCACTCCGATAGTTACAAAAACTCGCACTTGTTGATTGGCTCCAATAACATCCTCTCAATTTTATACCGTTTCCCAAAAAATAAAACATCCCTGATAATAAGGCCAATCGGGCTTTTGAGTGCATGCACTAAAATAAGCCTCCCCCCGAAAATAAGCCCTCCCTGAAAATATTTAAACGCAGAGCTGGAAATCAGATATGACGGCAAGAGGAGCCCCATCTTGTTCCACATGGCCCAAGATAATAAGACCTCCCCGAAAATAAGGCCAAGTGCTTATTTCGGGGTTCAAAAAAATATAAGATAGGGTCTTATTTTCGGGGGGAAACAGTAGTGAAATCAGACCAAAAAAAAGGATATTCAAACCTCCCAATTTCTCCAGGAGTAACATTCTTTCATGATGTGCTTTCCATTTTATTTCTTGTAGAGTCACATTCTAGAATTCTGTTAAGTAAAAAAACCAAGATCTCCTGTTTCATTTAGCCTCTTAGGATATAGTCAACCACCCACTGCTTAGCCAACATCACATGCCTAGAATGGCACTGCAAGGTGGAATTCAGTTTCTTCAGTGTAGGAGAAGATAGACTTAGTCAGTGATGCCTATAACAGTTAATAACTTTATTTCAAGAAAACCAAGTAGGAAATATGTCCTGCCTACAGAAAACAGCCAGGTAGCTAGCTATATTACCTAAAATTATAAATCAAAGGAATTTATAAAATCATTTTAAAAATAGCATACCATTACTAATTATTATTTCATGATTAAACGTCTGTCTAAATATAAATAATGAAACATAACAGATAACTTGGTGACTGCCCTTTAAAATATATTATGTTTAGAATGTATCCTCCCTTCACAGAAATAAAATCAATCAATCACTCTGAAATTCATGTTAAGCCTTTAAATACACATTTTCCACCTCCTCTTACAAAGTCAGTTCCTTTGTTGTTGCTGTTGTTCATAGTATACCAAGCAACGTTACAGAAGTCATACTTGAGAGAAACCTTTCGCAGGCCAAAACATGGGTCTTTTAGGTTTTTCATTTTCCTGTTTTAAAAAAAGGAAACAAACAGGTGAATTACAAATATGATATGTATAAATCTGCAATTCTAACATATCCTGATTTATTCAATGGTCTCTTCACAATAAAGCTGTGGGTGTACCTGAATAATAGACTCTACATTATGATAATATATGGAAAGCAGCACCCTCATCTAAACAGTATCTGGGAATATATTCTCAAACACATCAACTCTGTACCAACAGCTTTGAACAGAATTAGCTTTGTGGCCATTTAGCTATGAGGGGAGTTTGCTCTTGAATTCTTACAGCATGTCTTCGTCTTCTTTTAGGCTGGATACACTCTTGCCTATATGAAGGCCACTGCAATCCTTCCGGGGTTGCTTGACTATTCTCATGTTCCACATCTTCTAAATCAGAATCATCTTGTTGTACCAAGGGGAACCGTCTCTCTGGATAAATTTCCTTGAGCTTGCTTTCAAAGAATATTTCCAGGCACCTTCCAGCCTCAGCAACCTCCGAATCAGGCTGCAAAAGAAACGCCATAATTAATTAGGTCATAATGTTGTTTAGGATAATAAATCTTTATTATTTTATCTATTAAGGATATTTATTTTTCAAAACTAAATCACTTTACAGTAACATATATATTTATAACAATAGCACTTAGACTTATATACTGCTTCACAGTGCTTTACAACCTTCTCTAAGCAGTTTACAGAGTCAGCATATTTCCCCCAACAATCTGTGTCCTTATTTTACCAACCTTGGAAGGATGGAAGACTGAGTTAACCTTGAGCCAGTGAGGATCAAACTCCTGGCAGTCAGCAGAATTAGCCTGCAAATACTGCATTCTAACCACTGTGCCACTACAGCTCTTATATAAAGCCAAAATATTAGTTGCAACATAGACTAAGAAAAATGGTCAACAGCAATAGCATGTCAAAATAAACAATACTATATTAATATATCATACAAGTTGCCATGTAGTGGTATCTCAGTACTCGTCATTAATTGGATCCAGGAGGCATGATAATACCAAAACTAATGAGAACTGAATATTTTTCCCCATAAGGAATAATGTAATGAGTCACAAGGCAGCCAACGCCAACAAGTTCTAGTTTGTGCATCAAGTACCAAACAAACAATGAGTACCGGGACAATTTTTTTGTGTCAAAATGCACTGAGTACCATATTCAAGGAGTTCCAGAGGACCAAGGAACCGCTGTAATATATATTATACTATGTAATGGACCCAGAGTGGGTGGTACATAAGTTTAATAAATTATCTGTTCACAACAATGTGAAGTTAGAGCTGCCAGTTCTTTATCTGGTGTTGGCTTTGGTATGCACAAATTCTTTCAAAAAACCTAAAATATCATAATGTATCAGCATAGTATATGGGTGAATCCAAGCAATCTGGCCTTTTGCAACTGACAAAGGGAATTTTGTCAATGGGCACATTTTCTAAGTGCCATCCAAGATTTTTTAGTATGGGACCCAGTATACTAGTTACCCACTGGAACCACCACAGCCAATTTATGCATCTTTCAATTTTGATTTTCAGCTCTCGATATCTCTGATGTTCTCCAGTTCTTTTTCTTATATTCTACCATCTCATCACATCAATTATCCACACTTTCTTTTCAACCACAGTTAAATGCAGTGGGTTATCAGCCAAGACTTTATCAGTTTATATTCAGAAATCCCACAATATTTTAATCTGCTTGTAATCCACTACTTCTTCAACTAACTATATGTTCCTACTTTTTCATATCTGGCGTATGGTAATTTATACAGATGCTCCAATGAATCATTTTAGTGACTGCTTTATGTCATTGACTAGAATCAGTATGTGATCTCGCATAAGCTGAGTATATTATTATAATGTGTACATTGAATATAATTTAAAATTATCAGCACATCAAAACGGTGATAAGAAGCATAGATTCTTGTTAATATAGGAAATGAATGGCACCTATACACTATTTATTTATTTATTTATTTATTTTTGAATTTGTATACCGCCCTTCTCCCTGAGGACTCTGAAACAGAACACAGATTAACCATTCTTCTAGATTTCTTATCTATCTCAATATTTTGTAAATTAATACAGTTTTAAAAGCTATTAATAGTCTCCAGTGCCCTACAGTTGAATGACAGGTTTTTCAGATACAGTATTTTACCAATAGAATTTTTTTAAAAAACAGATGAGGACAAGCAAAGATGACAACAAATTACAATTTGCTGAAGACATGTCAACTATAAAGTCTAAAATAAAAGAGCAGGTACCAGTTCCCTCATTTTTTGTACCTTGATTTTTTTTCTTTCAAAGCAGATGGGCGTAGAATGAAAGGATGAAGTACTCCTTTCTCCTTTACTTCCCTTAAAATTATTTTGAATTACACTTTTCAAAATTAAAATATTCAAACCAGAACTAATACCAGTGTTTCTTCTATATGCATCTTTTCTCCTTTTACCTCTAGCCAACTCCGTATTTTCTTTATCTACAATCTCATTTAAAAACTCAAATAAAAATATCCATTGCAAAAGAAAAGCCATCTCCTTTTTGTGTATAAATGTGTGCTGAATTCTGGAATACTAGAACTTACATAGTTGAACGTTGCACAGTTCCAAAACATAAGGCGCACATCAGCTACCAGCTCTTCTGAAGTGGTATAATGCAGTTGGTCTTCTTTCTGAAGTTTTTTCCGAATGGTGGACAAGTCCATGGGCTTCTTGATAATCTGATAATAATGGCGAGCCTGTACAGAATCCCATTAGAAGAATATTTGATAAATCCCATGATGATAAATCATTCACAAAACAAATATTTCCTTAATATTTGTAATTAGTAGTTCTAACAAAACCTGTGAGTTTCTCTGGTACCTATAGAAGCCCATTACTGATGCATATTTTAGAGTGAGGTCCCACTGGTTGATGTGGGGCTCAAGATGGTGTCATGTTTTGAAACTAATTTTTATTGGGAGAAAAGGGCAAAATTACTAAATACGTGACTACAAAGTCATAATAATTCAATGAATTTTAATTCAATGTTTAGTCAAAGTCAATGGAATAAAATTCAATTTACCTTTGTCATGACCCTGCTCCCTACTTTTAAGGAGAGTGGCCACACTCAATCCATTCAAGTGCAACCATTGACCCAAAATGTCTATGGAGACTCTCAGTCATCCAGGTCATGGTTGTCCCAAAGATGCTTTTTTCAAGAGGCAACTGGTCTTCAGTTCTGACTGAAGGAGTTTCTTGGATGAAAAGTGAAATGTCTTCAAGGGGAAAAAATGACTTCAAGGCCAGTTGCCTCTTGAAAAAGACACCTTTGGAACACTGACCCAAAAGAACTAGCAAGCTTATGCTTTTGGCAATACTAACCATGTGAAGTTTTAGCCATATATGTTTTTTTAAAGCATTTTGAACATTTCCTCTGCACCTCTTTAGGAGAGATAGCAGGGATGAGAAAGAATAGCAACCTTAAAACTCTTCAGCAAAGCACCAATAGACAAATCATGCTGAACCAATCAATGGAATGAATATCTTATACCAACCAAGAGAAAAAACTTTAAAAAGCCATGACCACTTGTTTTTTCTGGGATGGCAGATTGGTTGGCATGGCTTATTGGCAAGATTAGTCTTTTCTGTGAATGATGGATTATGCACTGCTTGTAGAACAATTACAAAAAAGTGATTATTTTTTATTATTTAATATAAAAATGAAGAAACCGAATTATACCCAATTCTCTAACATACCAACACTTTTTCCTTTCAAAAGAAATGCCCTTAAATAAATTATAACAAACAATAAAGCAATTATTCCTGAAGTAAGCAGAATTTATAGAAGTCATCAAATTTACTGGCCAACTACAGGTAGTCCTCGATTTACAACAGTTCACTTAGTGACCGCTCGAAGTTACAATGGCACTGAAAAAAGTGACTTATGACCATTTTTCAAACATGACTTTTACAACCTTCTTGACTAGCAAAGTCAATGGGGAAACTAGATTCACTTAACAACCGGGTTACTAATTTAACAACTGCAGTGATTCACTTAAAAATGTGGCAAGAAAAAGCCGTAAAATGGAGCAAAGTTCATTTAACAAATGTCTCACTTAGCAGCATAAATTTTGGGCTCAATTGTGGTTGTAGGTTGAGGACTACCTGTACTGTACTCATATCAATATCAAAGAGCACATTGTACCTCCTTCCTCCGGCTTTGTACATGCAGTACTGTATATGGAAAGAAAGCTGGAACAGTGTTTGAAAGTCCATTGAATCTCCAAACTGCCTTCACATTTTTTTTCTGTTTACAAATCTATCAACTGACTCAACTACAAGATTAGATCAATTTCTAACGTAACTGGCAATTTTGTTGAAATAGTTCTGCTCATTTAATTGATAAAAGCATTTTCATTGTAGAAGGCAAAGACAAAAAAGACTGTACACACTGAAACGGGGGGGGAGTATTGATTGATAAGATCATACTGCCCAGAGAAGTTACGGTACTTCATTCTGTGTACTTACCAGGGGACTGACCGGTTCATGGAATGGAAGACTCAAGCTATTGCAGAACAGTGAAAGCACCAATTTTTCACACTTCTATAAAATACAAATCTACAATTAACTTATGTATATTAAATTGCTACACGAACATCTATATTCTGTATAAATATTTATACTGGCTTCACTTAACAGTTTTTACAGAGACATTTATATTTCTTAATACTCCTAGTTTCTCGTAGTATAATTCTAAAACAGGTTGATCTACGTGCAGCTCAAAACAAATTCTTGGCTGGCTTCCACTGTTTCACTTCTATTGCTTTAACATAATATCTATAGTACAATTCAGCACAATGTAGTAATACAATTAGTTTACTGTAACATACTCTGAATGGGGTAGCCCTGATCCTATTAGCCTTTTGCACGGCATGAAGACCTGGGCGCTTCTCCAGGCATTCAGGCCAGGAGGTTAAGACTAGCTCTGCAGATGTTGATTTGTTTTTTTTTGTTACTGGAGGTTATTTATTTTAATTTTGGACATTGTGGATTATACTGTATGTTGGGTTTATGTTTTAATCTTTGTACACCACCCTGAATCACTATTATGAAATGGTCAGCCATACACATCATTTAAATAAATACATTCTAAGTTAAAAATTAGTACAATGTAAAAAAACATGCTGTACATATTTTTCTTATCCCCTTTCATTTCATAAAAGAGAGGAAAGCCAAAATAATTCAAAAACTGCTTAATTCATCTAGATAAAAATTAGTCCAGGTCCTACTGTAACTCAAATCTTAGAACTCAATTCTGCCCAATTCCTAAAGAAGCTCTTTCAGTGCTGTCTTCTGGGACATGCAAACTTACAGAAAGGGAAAATACATTATCGGCAAAGAAGATAGATTTGTCATTAATACTGTTACCTAAACCTACCTTTTGGTCATATTCACCAAGGCTATAAAGTGGTCTTGCTTGCATGAGTGTATTGTAGTCAAATCGTGTGTTTTCACAATCATAGACTACCTCTGGTGTTTCCACATTGCGACAAAGTGTGCACACCCATTCACCTCTGCAGCACAAAAAAAAATAATAATATGCAGCATTGGGCTACTGTATAGTTCGATTAAAATGCCAATGGTAGACAATGACTTAACCAACATTCCATTAGACTAAAAAATTCTTAATTTTTTAAAATCTGAAATGCTAAATCAGGGAAGAATTTTCTTTTACTCATTACTCCTGGCAAAAAAATCCCATTGCAACAAATACTGCAGAAATCTATATAGATTATACATTCTTTAAGTTATTATAACAAGTGTAATAACATAAGACAGGGCAGAGACATAAACAGAATTCACAACATCAGGAGCAAAGAAAAAAGTTACGATATTCTTTCAAACATACTTCATTGTTTGTAGAAAGTTAGACTGTAATAACCTGAAAAAATACCCAAACAAGTCTTTTTGATGTTTGTCCAACTAGTTATCCTCAATGTTTGCCTTGTTTCTTCTCAAAAACAAATATTCCATTGGAAACATTTATCCTGTGTTAGATTTTTATATAATCCAAACTTAACATTGAATAAATTCTTATTTATTCAAGATTTCAAAACAAGCAAACAAAATTAGTAGGAAAGAAGCACTAAAAGTAACACATCCATTCAAGGACAGATGTTTAATATTTGGGTATATATGTTATAAAGCAGTTTACTTGCAAGGATCTAGCTTTAAAGGAGAGAACCTAATTCTGTTATACTCACACAGGAAAACTGAGTAATGCAGGAACATGGCATGAGAGATGAAACACCTTTGGGCAGTAATCACAACACAAAAGTTCTCCTCCATTCAGGCAAACAGCACAAAAGTCTTCATTCTCAATAGTGTGATCTTCCTGAGGAAGCCCAGATTTCTTCAAATTATTACTAAGCCTGTGATCTCCTGAAGGAAGTAACACCTGTTCAGTCAACTGGCTTGTGAGGATCCTGCTTTTCTCCAGGTTTTCTCCAAGTTTAGAATTTAGACTTTCAGATGAATGTCCTTGATTGACCTGGGATAAAAAGGGAAAATGTCTTCACAAAAAGTGCTTGATATACTGCAGAAGCTTACATACAGTACATTTTCTGTAGAGAATGTAATATATTAGTTTCGTCTGAAGACTGCAAATTGCGGAGGTCTCCTGAGGTTTCAATTTACATAATCTCCAGTTAACACTTATCATATAATTCATTAATTTTGCCCAGAGTTTTAAATGACCTAGCCAACATAGTCACCAGCTAATTACAAAGCTAAAATGTTAGCATCTGAATGGAAGTTTACCTTATAAGTTAGATATATAAACCCTTCCTTATAGCCAAATTGGCCTTTTAATGAAAAAAGACTCCTTCCATTTAAAGAGGGAAGAGCGCTTCAATGAAGACACCCTAACACATGGGTGTCAAACTCGCCATGTCACATTGCTGTCATGTGATGTTTCACAATGTTTTTCCCCATTCACAGAGTTGGGGTGGGCGTGGCCTGAGCATGACGCATTCGGCCCTCAGGCTGCCAGTTTGACACCCGTGCCCTAACAGAAGAAAAGGCTCATGGGGGAGTGGGAGGAAGAAGAGCATTGTTTGCCAATTTGATCTTTTTCTCTGCAGCCTTCAGCACTGCTTCACATATTTATCTGCAGAAGCCTCCATCTGGGACAAGGGGACAATAATGGGTCCTGAAGGGAAATGAAATAGGAATATACCATAGGCTGAATGAAGCTTCAAAGTGCACTCTGCTCAATGAAAGTTGCAACACACTGATGATACTGTATTTTCATTAATTATGATTCTAAAGCTTTGTTTTATGGTAAGAGCACTCCTGCTGGCTTCTCCATTAACTCTGCTTGTTGGAGGCCAGCAAAGGTCTCAAATGCAATGTTTCAATGAACTCAAAGTATATCACCATGATCAAATTCACTGATAATGATCCTCAGTGAATGCTACTAAATGCATTTTAATAAAATGGGGGGGGGGGGGGCGGGGACCAAGTTAAGGCAGATAAATTGAATTTACCTTAATAGCCATGCTTGAAGACTGAGCACCACATTCAATAATCAACAGAAATGTCCCATCATGTGTACTTTTCTGTGGCTGCAATTTAAAAATTGGAAGCTCTCCAGATTCTGATGTGCATATCTTCAATCGTTCCAATCGCACATAAGGAATTTTTACTTCTTTGGCACAAATTCTAAAAAGTGTTAAATAGTGGATCAACTTTATCAGTGCTATGGGTCATTCCTCTAGCTAAACTTTACCACTGCAACACAATTTGGCAAATTAAGTCAAAATGTTATATTTTGTTAATATTCAGTACTAAAACATCAGTACTGATGTTTTAACAATTTTAATTTTAAAAAATTAAGATATTTTAACATTGCTTTTATTAATTAATCTTATATTTTTACACTATCATTTCTACTTTAGAATCAACAGATTCCCATACACAATAGTAAGCTGTTTGCACATTTCCACACTCAAATAATTTTTATACTGACTCCATATATTAGTAATTTTGGAATGATGTCTAGTCCTTTTAGAAAACAGGCAATATAAATATATATTAGATATTATGATTTCTTATAATGCATATAAAGGGAATATCTGATTTTAAAAGACATATACAATTGTTTCAAATTGGATAAACTAAACTGAAAAATGGATTTGTGTAATTATAACAATGTTATAATTTCTGCAAGATATATAATTCCTTTGATGTACTGAGTTATTAATGCCACTCCTATCTTATTAGGTATGGTACTAAACATAATAGCTAGATATATTAGTATTCACATCTGCAGTTTTACAGACAAATTTATAATTTTCCATTTGCTGTATAATTTGGATTTATTTATGTTTCATACATTTTTCTCCTCTAGAATTGCTTCATTTCAACAATCCATTAATTCCAATTTACATATTTTCTAAATGAAAAAAAAATCATTTCTTGAAATGAGCCTTAAAGTTGTAAGATCCATTAATTCTGATTACCTGTTGTTCTGACTACTTTTAATTTCCTTTTCAAAATGTTCTTCTTCACAGTTAGGACAATCTACAAGAAATAAAATGAGTAAAATAACACAAAGCTACCTTGATTAAAGGGGAGAGGTGGTTTTTTTTAGCATCCAAAATACAGACCTACAGTAAATTTCTCACAGAAGTACAGGTAGTTTTCAACTTCAATTCGTTTAATGATGGTTTGAAGCTACGATGAGACTGAAAAAAATGACATACAACACATCCTTGAAGTTACGACTGTCGCACCCCCCCCAGGATTACAATTTAGACACTTGGCAACTGGCTCATATTTATGACCTTGTGATCACAATTGCAATTTGTGATTTTTCCAGCCAGCTTATAACAAGCAAAGTCAGTGTGTGTCTGTGTGATTTGTTTAATAACTATGGGATTTGCTTAATGACCATGTGGTTTGCTTCATGGCTGCAATAAAAATGGTTGTAATCAAGTCTGGTCACATGATTGCATCACTTAGTAACCAAAATTCTAGTCCGGATTTTCATAAATTTAGGATTATCTGTACTGTAATTTCAATCAAAATTACTAAGATTTGCTCCAATGGAATCCACTGGAACATGAACAGGTGTATTCCACAGAATTTCTTACTGTTGTCTCAAAATATTTCTTAGTTCAAAAGACGTGGACAAGGAATTTACTGAACTGCATAGAAAAAGTTGAATGCAGACAGTGATGGGTTGCCCCCGGTTCGCAAGAACCGTAGTAAAACTGGCAGGAGGCCCCGCCCACCGCCCTGGATGTTGTCATCAGCGATCTGCGTATGCGCAGAAGCTTCTGCACATGCGCAGAAGCAAGGCATGCGCACAAGCAAAGCAAGCATGTGCGCGATCCTGTTACAAACCGGTGGTAAAGATAAGTAGAACCCACCCCTGAATGCAGAGCAAAGATAGCTACATTGTGACGACGATATGCAGATAATCAGAAAGTTGTAATTCCGGGGTTTTTTTTTAAAGTATGTCGCATTTACTGGACTTAGATTGATATGCATATCCTTAATTCCTTCCTTCTGTAGTCCATTAACAGAGAAATCATATAAGAATAGAGAATTTGTGGCAGAACAACTCCTAATGCTTGTTGAATTGATGCTCCAAAAACCATAAAGCAGGAGGGTGAGTTTTTGCCTTAAACTTTATTCATTGTTTGCTTTTGACATTTACAACAGCTCCAGGGATGACATAGTTTTCTCCAATTACAGGAAGATACTGAGAAGTAATGGGCTTTGTATCCAGCAGATACAGACTCTGCTCTAATCTGTCACTCGTGTGATCTTTTTAATCCCTCACACACTATATTGGTGGAGCTCATCCCTGGAAGTCAAAGGGAATTTGAAGTTTTCTTTCCTATCAGCAAGCAAATTTCTATATTCATTCATAGGAAAACTTAGAATATCTATGATTCTTGAAACTTCTTAGGGGTTTCAGGATTGTATCCTAACACATGGGGCAGGAAGGGCTGGAAGAAAATGTTCTTGGACTCTTATTAATATAGAGATAGTTTTGTTTTTCTTTATATTTATGAATCTACTTTTGTGTTTTCCTGGGGAAGGGGGCATTGCTAATCTTAATTATAATACTGACCATCATTAAGTGTCAATATGTTGACCTCAGAGAATAAATGCTTTTTACAAAAATCTTTATTAATAAAGCAACATTACAAAAATTAGAGATACATTTAACATATAACATATCTAAAAATAGGCTGATCTATTCACAAAGTTTCCCTATTTCGGACCTGACACAAGTCTAAAATCTTATCAACTCTCAATTATGAATCTTAAATTCATAAAGTTATTATCTGAGAGCACAAGTCCTCCACTGGCAACAACGTTAGTGGCTGGAGGAAGCTAGGAGCTTGGTGGTTTTCCAACGGCCTTTGCTGTCAGCAAGGAGCACTGCTGGGGTGGGATCCAACCACGGTGAAGACCTTTACTGCATTCAAGCAGGCGGAAATCTGCTGGTAGTTCTCCTTCCGGCAGTAGTCAGCAGGAAGCCACAAAATGGGTGTTCTGGGGTGGGGGCATGGAAGAGTCAGTTTTAGGTCTACTGGATCCAAAGCCATCCTATTCCCTCAAATGAACCTAATTGGTCCTGTCAGCTATACCAACCCTGGAGTTGCCATAAATAATAGCCCCTCCCTAAATGGGAAAGGAGAATATTATAAATTCAAAGATCCACTGGAGCAAAAAAGCTAAAGAAAAAAAATTGTTCTATCTGAGACAAGCCAGCAGAGCTTGAGATATAGCAGAATTCAATAGCAGTTTCATTCTGAAAGAATTGTGATACAGAATTGCCATCAATGGTATCTTTGTATAGAAAATATAGCCTAATTTGGATGTTACTAGAACCTGAATGACAGTTGGCAGATCTGTTGAAAATGACTATTCATCTGACAAAATTACATCACTTTTACATTCTGTAAACTGGCCTTGAAGTACCAGTTAATCACAATGAATAAAATATGCAAAGGAGGATGATCAAGTGATGGTGATGGTATCTGGATGCTTCCAAAATGTCATTCTTGAATAGCCAAACTCCCTGCTACCTTTTCTATCTTAATGCATAATAAACTTTTCTCTGCTACTTCTCTTCTGAGCAGTAGTATAACATTACTGATAACATTTAAAATTGTACTGTATCATTTTTATTTATTATGTTATCTAGCTCATTCAAATTAATAGAACTCTAATATAATAGATCTCTGTTATTAAATCAAGCCTAGACAAATATTCTATTTTTATGTATCCCATTATTAGCCAGGAAGTTGTTCCATGTTTACTAAAGGCCAGTATAGTGGACGTTAATAGAAAACATGGGACAATTACAGAAATCATAATTTAATTTATGGTTTCTCATTGCAAAGCATTTGTATTTTCAGCAGCAATCCTTTGAAATAATTATGCTATACAATATATGATTTTAAACATCCATGAAATATAAAGAAAAAAAAGTCTGGTACCTTCAGTGTGTCCTGGTTTGGGATGAACAGATTGCATGAAGGTTGTGTTGCTGATAAGTAAGGGAGGGGAGGTACATGGCTGAGTTTTCTTCACTGAGAGATTAATAGGCTCTTCCAGAATATTTTGTAAAGGAAGAGCCATTTCATTTATGTCTTTTGATTGCGCTGTGACAATATTGCTCCCAAGAGGATAACTCACATGGCTAAACTCTTCATTTTCCAGCTGATAATTGAAGAGAAAAAAAAGTGAAATTTGCAAAATATTTTATACATCAACAAAATAATTAATTGAAAATTGATTATTTTCAATTAATTATTTTGAATTAATAATTCAAAGAGCCTAAGTGGCAAGAGCCTGAGTGGCGTAGGAGGATAATGCCTCCTACTAAGGCAGCATTTAACATCCAGCTGCCTGCAATTACTGCAAGTTCAATTCTCACCAGGCTCAAGGTCGACTCAGCCTTCCATCCTTTCTAAGGTGGGTAAAATGAGGACCCGGTTTGTGGGGGCAATAAACTGACTTTGTATAAAATATACAAAAGTATGAAGGCTATTGCTTAACGCATTGTAAGCCGCCCTGAGTCTCCGGAGAAGGGCGGCATATAAAAATAATTTTTTAAAAAAAATTATTGCTCCTGCTTCATTCTGAGGGGCACACAAAGCATGAGTTCAATAATTTAAGATCTTTGAACTACAGATCTACAAAAAAAGTCCACAAATTTCTCAATATCCTATCAGTATCAGGCTAATTCTATGTGGCAATGGCAAATTACTTATATAACGCTGCCAATAAAATTCCTTGGAACTGTTCATGAAAATCCAAAGTCTAATTTTTCTTGAAGGACACTTTTAACTTTTTGCCATAAGAACAGAAAACTCACGCAAGGATTCTAGGGTGGTCTCTAAGTCAAGAAATAAGAAACTCTTGGCAGGAATGTGATCTGCATAGGAGCTTTTGAAATTAACTGGGTTTATAAAAAAGACACATCAGTACTGAAGTTCCAGATAACTTAAATGAAATCTGCATAAAAATACTGGCACAATTTTTCAAGTTCCAATAATCTCAACAGAGATTTTCCAGCTGTGTGGTGACTTATGAAATAAACTAGAATGACCATTCTTGTGATTTTTTTCCCCTATCAAATGATTATCTGATGGATCAACTGTTCTTACCTTGCAAACTGGGTTTACCAAAGGCATGCCACCAATTGCTAAGTGTTCGATATTTTCAGAACTCAGGGTCCTCGTTCTATCCAAGGACAGATTATAAGTAGATACAGATTCAGGAAGCACTTCAGAGACATGAGGTACATTCTGGGACAGGCTAGATGTTGCACTGCAGATTTCTTTTGCCTGTGAATCAGCTTGTCTGGATGCCCTTGATGAAGATAGATCAACTTCTAAAATGTTTGGAAAACCCACTATGTTCATTGAAGCTGACCGCTGGGGGGAAGAAAAAAGACCATAGGAAGCTCAGTATTCATTGCAACATTAATTCTTTCACTAGGAAGGTTTTTGTAGGTTGATTGAAATATTAGAATGTTTGTTTTATCTTGTTGAACACCATTCTGAATGCTTATCATAACAATGGCCTATTTTAAATGTTTGAATCCACTAAAAGGTTCCTCAAGTATCAGTCAACATATGTGTTTTTCTTAAAATTCATTCATTCATTCATGGACAATGTCCTAACAGAAAAGATATTTTGTCATCTCATTTAAAAGTAGAAAATGCTTCTTTTTGAAATTATACACACTTAAAACCCTCAGATATAAAATTTAAAAGCAAAATAAATGGCTTTTCCCAATAATTATGTTAATAAGGTTACAAGTACGTAATCTTCAAGCAAATTTTACAAAACTATGATTTTTTCATATTTTGATTTATTTTATATAAAAGGAAAGAAGAGTTTTTTTTCCTATTGTTATATAAAAATGTTATTTTTCCTATTCTAAGGGACAATCTTTAATATAAAACTATTTATTTGTTTTAAAATATTTGTACTCTATTTCCTATTTTTAAAAAATCTCAAAGCCACTAACAATAAAATTGCAATGTATCTAAAACATGATTTAATTATATATATTTGATTTTAGTAAAGAAGCTTTTTCTCTCAGTAAAAATATTCTATCAAATTCACTATTTTCAACAATTGGCCAGATGGAAGACATTTTTTCTTTAAGTTCCTTGTTTTCTTTTCTCTTTTCTTTTCTTTTCTTTTTTCTTTTCTTAAGTTCCCTATTTTATTCCTTGTTTTTTTTCCTACTCTGCCACAGATGTCTATGGGAAGGTGACAATGGGTCCAATCCTAGGATATTTTGAGACAATGGAACTAGTTCCTGGGAAAATTAAAGTGCTACATATTTAATAAGAAATATAAAAAGATGGTTTGTGAGTATTATGTGCGTCTCAAAGTAGCAACTGAATTATGTAATAAATGAACTGCAGCTATGGACACTGCATGCTGGACATGTTAGCACCATGTATTTCTGATACGACATCCCAAAATAACTATTCAGTCAGCAGCCAGCTGGTGTGCTTCTAAATCTAATGCAACATTATTCTGAGTCAAATATAATGGGCACATTAATAAATAAAACCTCCGGTTTTTCTTAATTCTTCATTTATTTACAAACTTAAATCAGCTGGTTTTTTGCATCTAATCAGAATGCTTTTTCTTACAGAACTGCATGAAAACTGCCTTGTCACAAGAAGAGTTCTCCCTTTATCCTTCATGCTTTTACAGAAGTATGTACAAAAAAACTATAAAAAAGAAGTTTCTTTTCTCTGGCATATTGAAAACTTATAGATTAATTCCCAGAACAAAAACTCATTGTCTGGGGTCTTGTAAAATTTGAATTTGATAGATACAATAATAACTATTCTTAATGTGCGATAATTGTTCTCTTAATATTTTAATGAATAATTTTAAATCTAATAAACATATGCATACTTTGAAAATTAGTTTGTCTATTTATTCGTATTATTGTGAGATTTTCCCTATAAATTGTTGCATTAATTTTTCATCAGAGAACTCTGTTACAAAATGTGGAACACTACATATATGATAGAGTTATAGTACTTTGGTTCATCTATTGGTTTGTGGAACTTTCATACACTGTGGGTTCTGAAAAAAATTCTCCCCAACTGGAGATTTCATATTTGTGGAATCAAGATATTAGAGCTTCCAAGTGCTAGTCAGGATTTGAAGTATCTCCAAATATCCCAAAATTTTGGGACTTTTGTGTAATTGAACCATTATCTGACTACTGCATGTATTATTGGGTGAAAGTGTTAACCACTCATCCTTGATTGGCTCCAGCTAAAATTGTCATGTCGTCCCTGCCAAACCCTGTCGTGCTTTCTGCTTTGGACGACTTCTAAGTCACTACAAAATGATACTATTCTGATTGAGAATATGTCATTCACAAACAAAATTATTGGTTTCTTTCCTCTGACTTGCTACCCTTTCAGCATACCTCCAGCCAGTGGGAAAAAACCATCAATGTGGCATCTCTCATGGTTCATTTTCCTTAGCTTGGGTTGATGGACCCGCCTCCCGAACCCAACTTGGGCGTCTCCCAAGTTTAAATAACAAATATATGGGAAGGCACCAGGGCAGAAATTGCTCCAGAAAAGACAGAAGACTAGTTTTATAACTAGAGTAGAAGAACTAAAACTGGTTTGCTGATGAGCAATACCTTTCTTCCTTTAAGGAAAGGGAAGAAAGTGCAGAACATGGCAAATACAAGGAAACTAACAAGGAAGTAAATCCCTACTTCTTTTCCAAACAGAATAGTGAAGATGAATGATGTTTTGTCTTGTTAAAACACTGGAGAAAAAATGATGTCAAAAGCAAAGAGGGAAGTAGTTATAGATCTAGAACTAATTTTGGGATATAAAGTGCTAATAAGGCAAAGGCTGAGGGAGAAATGGTCGAAATGAATGCTGGCTAGTGACCAGATAAGAGGTATATCCTTGTCTCTGTACATTCCAAAAATATGATTCTGGTCGCATCCATCCAAGATATCATCATGATAAACTGCAAAGGTTTTTTTGCATACTGTAGCTGTCCTTAGATGACATTGAAAGTGAGGAAATATTTCTTTGTTAGAGGTACAGCTAATTATGCCTTCAGCTAGTCTTACCCATGAATGAGATCAGGGCAACATCTTGGAGACAAGTAAGGACAGTGTCACTGTTAAGGTATTGTGACTACGTGCAAATATGAATAGGAGCTTGGGAAAGACACTTGGTACTTAGACCTCAAATTGCCAATAACATTAAAGAATTTAAATTTTATTAGTAGCATAGTTACATGGAAAATATAACTCCTTAAGTCAATATAAAACATTAATCTTACTAAAAGAAGGAAGGAAAAATAGCGGGGAAATAGGAAATGAAGCTATCAAATTGCCTCGTTCTCTCTGGAATAAAAATTAATTTTGTGATTTCAATAATGAAGAAATTATGCATTGCCCAATAAAATGTGTATGTGGAATGTTGTACATGTGTGTGCCTACTTATCTAAGATCCTAGCAAGATCTGATGCATTTTCATGCTGATTCACAAAGCTACTGTCAAGGATGCAATAAAAATGTATTGGGAGTAAGGCTCATTAAGTTCAATTAATTATCTCCTTAAAATTATCATTCCTTTTTCCATTAGTGGAGGAAAGGGAGAGGAATCTTCCCCCTGTGGTTTTTACTGCCCTAAATTATGATACTTCTATCCTATTTTTATGTTGTCTAAAAAGATTTAATATCTCATCCTTCAACATCACAAATGTTCATGTCATATGCTTTCATGCTGCAACCTGTGCTATAAATTCATTTGACTTTTTTATATATGGTATATTGCAAACACATCTGTTTACATCTTCACATATATTTTGCAGTTTGCTTACTTTTCTCAATCATTACATTTTCTCTTGTTACTCATTCTCATTTGTTTCCACTCATGTTGTGAAAGAACTATCTCACTTCTATATTTCTCCTTACACTAACATATAAATTGCAGGAGCATCTGAAATGATGCTCTTTATCTAAAATGAAAATGATTAATTATGATCTTAATGAAAAAAGTGTTTATTTTCCTACAATTGCTTTCATGTTTACTGTGTGGATTGCAACTTTAATATTGTAGGTACCAGTGTTTCCACTGTCTTTATTCCATACATTTAATGTCAGCCTTATATGGAAAAATTAGGATATGATACTGTTAATGGCATGAAAGTGGAGAAAATATTAACTTTCTTGTTTTTATAGTATCAGGAAGCTATCAAGTGATGACGCAGGGACAATGCCTATTTAAAAGATAGAAGTCTTATTTAGAACAGTAAAAAGAAAGAAGAGAATGAAAAATGTGTGCAAAACAAGCTACAGAATAAACTGGATAAAGAAATGACACTGTTAATAAAAAATAGGTTTGGGATTTGCTAAAATGGCATCGAATCTTTGCAATTGCAGAGAAATTACTGAGAGTAAATGGCTACAAAGTAAAAAAAGATGCAGCTAAGTGGAACAATCCCTTGGCAACTCCTATATGCTGTAAACTTAAAACAAATGCAGTCATTCAAATCAAGTTAGCTCAAGTTTAAATCAGAGCGACCAGAAGCCTACCCCTGAATTAAAATAAATTGTTCCTGATCAAAAGACTCCTGTTTGCACGTGAGGGAGTATAAAACCAGCTCTGTATTCTGTAAAAATTCATCCTGAGCAAATTGAGTTGGCTTAACACCCCAGAAACAGTCAACAAAACACATGGTACTGTGTATTATTTATATTCCTTTCAGGTCAAATAAAAATAACATGAAAAGTTTGTTTAATGACAATAAAAATAACTAATTTGACAATTGTCTCCCCTAAAAGAAAAAGAAGGGAGGGGGAGACATGATGAGTTGGCCTTCTCTAATGCTCCAAGATTCACAGGATGCTTAAAGACCAAAGGATCTGATCCTTGCCCATTTCAACTGATCTATCTACCTCCATGACATTTGTGATGCACTGGCATCAAGCCATCATTTCTAACATTTAGGACTGCCAACTGACTTAAAACAAGGGAAAAATCTAAGCAACCTTTCTGCAAAGTTCAAACCAGCTTGTCTGTTCAAACACATGGTCAAGAAGACAAAAGATAGTTGCCAGGCATGTACTGAGAGATGGATAGAATAGCTTCTCTCAAGACATGATCTGAAAAGAACAACTTGGCTGATGCTAAATTCTTACTCCATCCTGAGCGCTTGATTAGTAATAGAATTACTTTTTTGTGCTATCACATCATTAATCATTTTAAGTGAATTCCAAATGTAGAGGTGCTTTGGATAGCAAGATGGATGGCACATACGCTTACAAAATAAACAAATAAAATATTATTACTTATTTATACTATGCCTTTTCATAGACATAAACAACAGAAGTAAACATATCAAATTAAATCTATGA